TCGCCGTGCCCAGCTGTCTGGAAGTTTTTCATTGTAATCTGTGGAGAGAGAAAAGCTTTCGTGGGCTTCCTTCATCTTCTCCTATAGCAGCAGTGCTAACAGTTGATTTTTAAGGCCTCTTTTCAGCTCGTTGTCTGGGCTGATGTATTGCTTCCTAAGCCCAACATCTTTTCTACTATAAGTATGGACAAATACTGTTCAAAAAACCTACAAATATATAGGCATTGTCTTGCAAGCCGATTCATGATTGGCCGTGATTTATATAAATTTAAAGCAGACTGTAGAATTCAAGAAGGATTAATTTTAATTCCCTTTTTTCCATTAGTGATCCTAAAATCGAGGATTTTAAAAAACCTTTTTAAAAGACTTTCTAAACCTTTTAACTTCAACCTTTTGATTAATTGCTTGGTTCCATGACTCTGCCAAGAGCAAACGCTACAGGCGGTGTTGTTGTCCAACAGCCAGTAGAGGGAGCGACAGGCTTCTTCACTGCGGCTGGGCCTGGCTCCTCCTCTGGGAACTTGCAGCTCTTGTTATATTTGTGAGCATAACACATCCAGTTATACTCTTGTAGTTATTTTTAAATGTACAGTTAAATTATTGTTGACTGTAGTCACCCTGTTGGACTATCAAATACTGGATCTTATTGATTCTATTTTTTCATAGTCATTAACCACGTGCACTTCCCCCTACCTCGCGCACCCCACTGCCCGTCCCCCGCCTCTGGTCTGCTACTCTCTGGTCCTTCTCCTCTCTCTGTCTCCAGAAAGCACGGACTTCTTGGTTACAGCCTGTAGTGGTACTGAGATTGTGAGGCCTGGGTGAAGACGTCAGTAGGAGGGTCAGAGGATGAAAGTCAGTACCATGAGAGTGCCTGAGCCTTGCTGAAGAAGAGAAAATCCAGGAGATGAAGAAGGGAGAGTTGGAAGGATCAGAAAAGAATTGAGAAAGAAGGTGTCATGGAAGCCCCGAGGGCAGGCAGTTTCAAGGAGGGAATGATCAGCAGTGTCACATGTCACCAACAGGATGGAGTAGGACCGAGCAGCAGCCACTATGTGTGGAGGACACCAGGCCCTTGAAGCAAGAACAGTTTTGGTGATCACTGGGGCAAGAGCTAGGGTGTGGGGAGTTGAGAAGCAAGGGGAGAAAGTAGACACAATGAAAGAGGCTTGGTTCTGAAGCCAGCGGGGAATGTTTGTGTCCCAACCCCCTTAACTCTCCCAATACCCCAGACTGGAGTGTGCAGTGTGTGGGGGCCTGCTGTGACCACAGCAGTGCTCAGCTCCTTGGATGTAGGACAGGGAACTTGCTTGGTGGTTCGACCTCGAGCTGGGGTTTTTCAGGGAGCGGTTGTGAATGTCGTTGCTGATCTTAATTCTGGTCATCTCATTACCAGATCCCCTGCAGCTTTTAGTCCTTGCAATCTCTCTTCTCCCTCTTCACGTGGAGACCTCTCAGATGGGAACTCATCTCCTTTATGGTTGGCTGCTGCTTTCCCCTCACCATGGTCCCGGTGGAACATAAGACCCTTTGCTGGAGATTTGGGCAGCAGTTTCTGAGGGTCTTTACTCTTCCCTCCTGGAATTTCAGCCTCTCCACATGTTTGTCTCCCCAGCTGGTGGCCATTCTCTACTTTCCTTCCAGACCCTCCCTACTTCGGCTGGAGTTGCTTTTTTACTTCTGTGTTATCAAGAGGCTGTTTCCTCCACGGTCATTCCTCAGTCCCGAGAGTCCAGTTGTCAGCACAGCTGTCATTCCACTGAACTGCACAGGCCACCGATGACCTCTTGGTTGGCAAATCCAGTGACTTCTACACTGACACAGTCTACCTATCTTTCTCTCTCTGTCGCCCAGGCTGGAGTGCAGTGGTGTGATCACAGCTCACTGCAGCCTCAGACTCCTGGGCTCAAGCAATCCTGCCTCAGCCTCCCGAGTGGTTGGGAGGACTACAGGTGTGTGCCACCATGCTTGGCTAATTGTTTTATTTTTATTTTTTGTAGAGACAGAGTCTCAGTTTGTTGCCCAGGCTGTTTTTGAACTCGTAGCCTCAAGTGATCCTCCTACTTTAGCCTCCCAAAGTGTTGGGATTACAGATATGAGCCACCGCGTCTGGCTTCTGGCCCCTTAAATGGAGGCGCTTTATGGTGTTCTGTCCTGGTTCACTCGCTCCACAGTTGGTCTCTGGAGCATAATATCCACTCCATGGTTTCATGTAACTCCTTGCAAATAAAGCTAGTGCTGGTTTTTTTCTTTTAGTTCTAGACCAAACTAGACACAGTTTTTGACAGAAGCCTCTTCAGAGTTATAAAGGTACTATAAACTCAAATTTCATTTTAAATAATGTATTTTTTTCTAAACAACCTAACCTTGACTCTGTTCCCTCACTCCTCCTCCCCCACCCCACCCAATCTAGGCAGTTGTAAAGTACTGTTGACTTTACCTAAGGGTGACGGGAAGCATTTCACGTGTGCTTAATGGCATGCCTGTTGCTGCTGGCCAACTTTATAACCTCACTGTCTACCTCCATTTTTTGTGGGTCTTCCAGAATCGCTGCCAGCACCAGCCAGAGCATGCCCCTCTTCCTTGGTTGCTCTCCTGTACTGACCAAGTCACACCCAGCCTGTTGATAGAGCCCTTTTTGATCTTATCCCAAATGACTCTTTCACCCCATGTCCCACCCCTCTTTAGCTGTTTCCTAAAACTCCGGGAGCTTTCTTTCCTGTGGGCATGTCCTTGTGTTGTTCCTGCCCTGGCTGTCTGTCCCTCCCATCCCTTTTGTGTTGAAAAGCCATCAGGGTCTAGTGCAAGTGTCATCTCTGTGGAGTCTCCCTTCTTGAGTCTAGAGTAAATGTTTGGGGGATTACAAGAAGTAGAACTTGACTAGAGCTGCCCTAACAATGACTGCCATTTATGGAGAAATTATTGTGGGACAGATTGCATTATGACACTTTCCATCCATTATCACATGTACACTAGAAGCAGATGGCCAAGAACAGGAGCTTTTCTGCCATTTACTAGCTTTGCAACTGTGGACAAGTTAATTACTATTTCAGTGTCAGTGAAATCTGAGGATTCAATGTACTTCCACATGGAAAACAAGCAATAAATGGTAGCGGCAGCCTCTGGGAAGATTTTTATCCCTCTTCATCCTCTCATAAGATAGTAAGTACTGTTATAGTTCCTATTTCACAGATGAGGAAACTGAGGCTCAGGGAGAGTGGGTAATTGTTCTGCTTCCCCCAACACATGGCTGCAGAAGTCGTGGCTTCTTCATGTTTTCACTCCAGAAGGTCTTTAACGCAATAAATACTTACTGAGCTGATTGGAAAGATGGATCTGCAGCCCCAGAGTCAAATTGAGAGAGAAATGTAGAAGTTGTCACCTGCACGGGGGTGGTCACTGCAGTTGTTTGATCTCCTCGAAGTTCTGTAGTCTTTCAGCGTCCACACGATTCAGCCCCGCTTTCAGCAATGAGCTGTGTCTTTCTTTGAGGCAGATGATCACTATATCTAACTGTCACTCAGATCTTTTGTTGTGAAAATTTGCATGTATTTGCCTTCTTTCTCCAGCTGGGTTAAGTGCTTTCAGGGCAGAGGGATTGTACCTTGTATTTCTGTGTATTAACTCCCACCTCTTTTTTTTTTTTTTTGAGACGGAGTCTCGCTCTGTCACCCAGGCTGGAGTGCGGTGGCGCGATCTCAGCTCACTGCAAGCTCCGCTTTCCGGGTTCACGCCATTCTCCTGCTTCAGCCTCCTGAGTAGCTGGGACTACAGGCGCCCGCCACCTCACCCGGCTAGTTTTTTGTATTTTTTGGTAGAGACAGGGTTTCACCGTGTTAGCCAGGATGGTCTCCATCTCCTGAACTCGTGATCCACCCATCTTGGCCTCCCAAAGTGCTGGGATTATAGGCTTGAGCCACCGCACCCGGCCAACTCCCACCTCTTTTAGTCCCTGTTTACTAAGATAATAGGTCAAATCTGGGTAGTATTAATCTCGAAAAGGAATTCACCCATTTCTAAGAGATGACCACACAAGATGATTTTGTGTGTTTTAATTTTTTAGTTTTAGAGATAGGGTGTGGCTCTGGGACCCAGGCTGGAGTACAGGCTAAAGTGATCCTCCTGCCTCACCCCCTTGTCCTCTGCCTTCCGTAGCTGGGACTGCAGGTAGCTGGGACGACAGGCACAACCCACCATGCCCAGCTAATTCATTTTAATTTTTTGGTAAGGTCTTTTAATGTTGCCCAGGCTGATCGGGAATGCCTGGCCTCAAGGGATCCTCCCACTTGGCCTCCCAAAGTGCTGGGATTATAGGCATGAGCCACCACACCTGGCCCAAGGTGATTTTGTTAGTTGGTACTTTCTGTAATTTGGATGAAGAAAGCATTATTTTATTCACATTTTCCAGATAGAAATTACCATCCTGGGCCGGGCGCAGTGGCTCATGCCTGTAATCCTACCACTTTGGGAGGTCAAGGTGAGTGGATCACTTGAGATCGGGAGTTCGAGACCAGCCTGGCCAACATGATGAAACCGCGTCTCTACTAAAAACATACAAAAAATTAACTGGGCATGGTTGTGGGCACCTGTGATCCCAGTTACTTGGGAGGCTAAGGCAGGAGAATCGCCTGAACCCTGGAGGTGGAGGCTACAGTGATCCAAGATGGTGCCACTGCAAACCAGCCTGGGCAATAAGAGCGAAACTCCGTCTCAAAAAAAAAAAAGGAAAAAGAAAATGACCCTCCTGTTTTTAAAATGGTACATGCACTGCTGCTTTGTTTCCTACAATCACACCTCTGATACCCATTCGTACCCTGAGCTGGGAGTCACTCACACACACGCTCCTGTTCCCATTCTCTCGGTTTACAGTTGAAGGAACTGAGAGCCACACTCCAGTGGTTCTCCCATTTTTTATCTGACAGAGTATTCTCTGAGCAGCTCAGTCAGGACTCAGGACTTAGGGCTATGCGAGTTCTCAACGCTGTACTTTCCCTCCACAGAGCTGAGAAGCTCCAGCTGCTGAACCACCGGCCTGTGACCGCCGTGGAGATCCAGCTGGTGAGCGAAGGGCGCCTGCGCTGGGGAGGCTGCCGTGGGTCTGAGATGTAGAAAGGCTGTGGTGGACAAGCTAGGAACTGTTGTTTTTTTTTGAAGAGGCTGCCCAACCACCCCATTTTTTAAGGAAAAGGAGACCTTGCCAGTTTGATCCTAGTTAATGTGGACTTAGGGACCGTAAAACACTGGAGGAGATTTCATTCCTCCCCTAGGATTTCGGCTGATGACTTGGCGGCTCTCTGTCTCCCCTGATGTCCAGGCCATTCTGGCCACTGCTTCCCTGTAGGGGTTGTTGCCAACCAGATGTTGCATAAAAACATGAAACTCAGCATGTCTCTGGTGAACATTCTCTGCCCCCTCGCCCACCCTTCACCCCACTCTTGCTTCCTCTCCTTCTGGGTGAGGGAAGCATGTGTGCGCTGTCCCACCGGCTCCCTTCCTTGCTCATCTCCTGGCCTAGCCTCCCATGCTGGAAACCTGCAAGCCATTCTCTTCCTTTCATCTCATAGTCACGGAGTCCCCAAGTTCTGTTGCTTTTGTCTTCTGTTCTTTAGCTTCTCTCCCTCCTGTACTGCGTTGATTTCCGCATTATTTCTCTACACGGCTCTTGCGGTTGTCCTCTCCCCATTCTCCCTGGCTCCCCAAGTCCATCTCCTACATCACCGTCAGAGATCACATCTAAAATGATGAATGTGATCCCGTTTCCCTGCATGAAACCATTTATTTAGTGCAGCCTCATCACTTGTGGAGTCTGCTTTGCACTGAGAGCATAGGCTTTGGAACAGGAGGAGGCAGCCAGAGTAGAGGGCCTGTGATGGGGTATTAGGTCTGGGAAATGATCCAGGGAGATACCCAGGCCACCACTGGGCACGTTGTGGCCACTGCCTTCTTACTACAGGGCAGAGAGCATCGGTACGTGACAAGTGTCAAGCAGGCCATCTAACTGCCAGTTAAAAAAAAAAAAAGCTGTTCATTGTCTTTCTAGGGTTGTTTTTGTCCTTCAGACTGTACCCAAAATTAAATTAGAACAGTTCCTTCCATGAAGGGTGCCTTTCTCTGGGAACCTGCCTGTAGCCTAAATAGAAACCCCTTTCTCATGTGTCCTGATTATTTTCATGCTTTACGCTGTGTTGGAGTTTCAACTTAGAACTTAGAGGAGAGAAAAAACAAACAGAACAGCAAGAAACGAATCCCTGTCCCTCTGGGTTAAAGATCACATGTCATGTCTCCTCCAGCTTTAATCAGCAACATATGTTACCCATGGCTTAATGACAGGCAGAGAGAAGAGATGAGGATTAGCGTGACCTCAGCCAGAGCCTGTGGAAAGTGCTATCATTACTTGGGGGAAAATTCGCTGCTATTGAGAATGCCTGGGGTGGGCTGGGTGCAGTGGCTCATGCCTGTAATGCCAGCACTTTGGGAGGCCAAGGTGGGCGGGTCACCTGAGGTCAGGAGTTCAAAACCAGCCTGGCTCAAGTGGTGAAACCCCATCTCTACTAAAAGTACAAAAATTAGCTGGCATGGTGGCACACACCTGTAATCCCAGCTACTCGGGAGACTGAGGCAGAATCACTTGATCCCAGGAGGCCAAGGTTGCAGTGAGCTGAGATCGCACCACTGTACTACAGCCTGGGTGACAGAGTGAGACTCCATCTCAAAAAAAAGAGAGTGCGTGGGGTGTGCCAGACCTTGGTCCTGGCGCCTGTGATTGTCTGTCACTTTGAATGCCCTCCCCACAGTCTTGGAAGGGGGCAAGTGTCCTCTCCATTTTAGCCCAAAGGGCTGGTGAGTGGCTGATTGAGACCTTCTGATTCAGAAGCTTTACTTTGCTCCTCCAAGCTAGGTACTCGTGCTTGATAAGACGAAAGATGTGTGTGACATCTCCTAAGATGGTTTCCTTCTCCTTTCTACAAAGTATGTAGGCCTTGGTAGAAACTGCTGTTTCTCAGCAGTTGAACCATTTTACCCCCAGATTCTTCCCACTCTGGAATTTGGCTACAAAAGGTAGCAAATTGTTTACCAAGGTTTGTAGCAGTATCTCTTCTCACCAGAGAGTGAATAAGAAATGAAAGCTTTGACTGAACATGGTGGCTCACGTTCATGGTGGCTCATGGTGGGGTTACAGAATCCCAGCACTTTGGGAGGCCAAGATGGGAGGATTGCTTGAGACCAGGAATTCAAAACCAGCCTGGGCAACGTAGTAAGGCCCCATCTCTACGAAAAGTTAAAAAAAATTAGCCAGGTGTGGTGGCGCACACCTGTGGTCCCAGCTATTCAGGAGACTAAGGTGAGAGGATTGCTTGAACCCAGAATTTCAAGGCTGCAATTAGGTATGATAGTGCCACTGTACTCCAGCCTGGGTGACCGAGCAAGACCCTGTCTTAAAAAAAAAAAAAAACTGTAGGGCCAGGCACAGTGGCTCACACCTGTAATCCCAGTACTTTGGGAGGCCAAGGTGGGTGGATCACCTGAGGTCAGGAGTTTGTGACCAGCTTGGCCAACATGGCCCCGTCTCTACTAAATATACAAAAATTAACTGGGTGTGGTGGCATGAGCCTGTAATCCCAGCTACTCGGGAGGCTGAGGCAGGAGAATCGCTTGAACCTGGGAGGTGGCAGTTGTAGTGAGCTGAGATTGCGCTACTGCACTCCAGCCTGGGTGACGAGCGAAACTCCATCTCAAGAAAACAAAAAGAAATAAAGGTTTCACTTACAGTGGAAAGTGCAAAGGACTTGAGTGAGAAGTTCCCTATATCAACACTAGAGCCATTTTTTCTCCCTGGGTCCAGAAAACAGTCCCAGTGTCCAACATTTATTACCATTCACTTGGGAGCCAGGTGTCTTTTGGAGGCTGAAACCTCACCTCTTCAGTTACGCCTGAGCCGTGATTTGCCGTGGCCCTCTGATGACTGCCTGCTGACTCAGAGGCTCAGTGAGGAAATGAGCTGGCCACCCGGTTTAGGACTTGTCGTGCCCAGTTGTGTATTGATTTGGAATGATTTGTGAGCCTTCCGGGCTGAGGTCAGTGAATCCTGTGACCTCACAGGCCACTGTCCTGAACAGCACTACCATCTAGGCCTGTTACTAATTTCGTGATTATGAAGTCTTGACTCATATAGAGTGTTACTGCTTGTAAAACACTGTTACATATGTTCTCCTTTTGTCCTTGCTGTAGGTGTTATTTTCATTTTACATTAGAGAAAATTGAAATTTAGAAAGCCAGGTTTAGTAAACTGTTCTGGATCAAATATTTAATAGTGTACGTTGTTGCTCTTTGAGATCTTTGACTCATTTTGAGGAAAGTAGGACATTAGGTTTGGCAACTTCGAGTTGCCATTTTTGGAGATCAGCAACCCAGTTTGATGCTCCTGGGACTGAAATAATGAAAGTTTGTCATTTGTGTTAACCCAGCTGTCGATACTTCGGACTTTTACATTTATTTGTCCTTATGTTCTGAACTACCTGAAATGGTTGGTATCTGAGAACCTTGAGATGGTGCTTTGAACTTTACTCTTGGAATGTTTCTCCTGTGTTGGAAAGAAAAGGTGAAGGGTCAGGCACAGCGATTCATGCCTATAATCCCAGCACTTTGGCAGGCTAATGTGGGAGGATCGCTTGAGCCCAGGAGTTCAAGACCAGCCTGGGCAAGCCCATCTCTACAAAAAATAATAAAAAATAATTAGCTGGACATGGTGCCACATAGCTATTGTCCCAGCTACTCAGGAGGCTGAGGCAGGAGGATTGCTTGAGCCCAGGAGTTTGAGGCTGCAGTAAGTGAGGACTGCGCCAGTATGCTCCACCTGGGTGACAGAGTAAGACCCACTCTCTTTGGGAAAAGAAAAGGCAGGGGTGAGGGATAATGTAGGCATTGTCGTTTACGCCAGTGATCCAAGAGGTGCTAGTAAGTGTTTTATTTCTAAAAGTTTCTTTTTGTTTATATTTCATTTAGTTTAATGCAGTGTAGGGTTTCTTCCTGTGACTGGGAACCTTAGGTTGAAAAACAAAAGGTCCTGACTATAATTAACCCTGAGGATTGGATGTTGATAAAAGGTTCGGCCGTTAGTGAATTTAGCAAAGTTTTTTTCTGCACATTCTTTCCTCAAACGGAGATCATCTTTTCTCTGGATTAAATAACCAAATCTTGGCTATTTTCCTCCTTTCTCTGCTTTTATTCTTTGGGGGCAGTACATGTTAGATTACTGCTTTTTATAGACTGTAACTTTGCATGTCTAATTTTAAACATGGGTTTTTGGCCGGGCATGGTGTCTAACTCCTATAATCCCAGCACTTTGGGAGGCCGAGGCTAGTGGATCGCCTGAGGTCAGGAGTTCAAGACCAGACCAACCAACATGGAGAAACCCTGTCTCTACTAAAAATACAAAACTATCCGGGCGTGGTGGTGCATGCCTGTAATTCCAGCTACTAGGGAGCCGAGATCACCCCATTGCACTCCAGCCTGGGCAACAAGAGTTAAACTCTGTCTCAAAAAAAAAGGGGGGTGGGGGTTGAAGATTGTTTCTTTCTCCGAAGAGAATTTACATTTTCCTGAGCCATGGAATCTTTAGAAAATGGTCATTTTATTTCACAGCGTCATAGGAAGTAGCCCCCATTGATTTGCTCAGGATCCCCCCGCCCCATCCTGGGACACCAGAATTATTATCTAGTTGCAGAAACACTTTTGGGCTGAAGTGAGTGGAGAGACCAGGGTTTTGCCAGGAGTTCGTGGTGTGACCTTGGGCATGTCACATGACTTCCTGAACTGTGCTGTTGTCTGTAAAGTGAGGTGGTCAGACTGGGATCCTCTCCAGGATTGCAGGCCTGTCCTATTACCTTGTTTTACTTCAGTCTGCCAGGATTTCTTTCTGGAACTCCCTGTGGTTCCATTTGCCGAATTTCAGAGATTGCTGTGGGGAATACTGTGGAATAGGACCTGGCCACCTTGAGCTGAGAAAGGTGTTTGTGATCGATGGTTGATGCCACCAAGCAAACAGGGTTAAGTAACTTGACTGCCTGCATGCTGCTTTTAAAAAGGCAGCTGACGACCTAATTCTGCTTAGAATTAGGGGCTCAGGCTGTGGGTATCATCTCTAGATTCAGATTTCTGGGACCACATCAGAAACCAGGTTTTGCGTGGACCTTTGATGGGCAGTGTGGTGTGGAGTGTGGGGAACTGTGGGTTTTAGACTAGGCAGGCCTGGCTAGGGATTCCAGTTCTACCTCTTGGCAGCATTGCTGAGAGGATGAAAGGAAATGCTGGACGGGAAGTGCAAGATGCACCTCCAGGCACACGAGAGGCCTCCCCACAGGGCTGTTGCTAGTGGGAGTGAGGATTAGAAGAAGGCTCCAGCTGGGCACAGTGGCTCAAGCCTGTAATCCCAGCACTTTGGGAGGCCGAGACGGGCGGATCACGAGGTCAGGAGATCGAGACCATCCTGGCTAACACGGTGAAACCCCGTCTCTACTAAAAAAATACAAAAAACTAGCCGGGCTTGGCGGCGGACGCCTGTAGTCCCAGCTACTCCGGAGGCTGAGGCAGGAGAATGGTGTGAACCCGGGAGCAGTGAGCTGAGATCCGGCCACTGCACTCTAGCCTGGGCGATAAAGCGAGACTCCGTCTCAAAAAAAAAAAAAAAAAAAAAAGAAGGCTCCAAACCATTTGGCACATAGTGGGCATCATCAACTATGTTGATGTTCATTAAATTACAGCTGTGTGCCGGGCACGGTGGCTCACACTGTAATCCCAGCGTTTTGGGAGGCCAAGGTGGGTGGATCACGAGGTCAAGATATTGAGACCATCCTGGCCAACATGGTGAAACCCCGTCTCTACTAAAAATACAAACAGTTAACTGGGCGTGGTGGCTCGCGCCTGTAGTCCCAGCGACTCGGGAGACTGAGGCTGGAGAATTGCTGGAACCTGAGAGGCGGAGGTTGCAGTGAGCCAAGATCGTGCCACTGCACTCCAACCTGGCACAGAGCAAGACTCCATCCCAAAAAAAAAAAAAAAAACAAATTACAGATGTGCTTGTGAAATATAAAAGTACATAAAGTGCCATATAACTTCTCAGAGATGCATATGCAACCTGTTGACTTCTCTCTGTGCGTGTCGGTGCGTGTATAACTGTTAGCGTTTTCCCTTTTTTTTTTTTTTTTTTTGAGAGTTGATCTTGCTTTGTCACCCAGGTTGGAGTGCTTGGCTCAACCTGGGCTCAAGTGATCCTCCCACTTCAGACCCCCGAGTAGCTGGGACTACTGGCGCACACCACCATGCCTGGCTTATTATTAATATTTTTTTTTTTTAAGAGATGGGGTTCCTCTATGCTGCCCAGGCCGGGGGTTTTCCTTTTCTTTAAAGAAAAATGCTATCCTACAACTCAGTTTTTACTGACCCATTTTGATCAGTCGCATTGGCTCAGTCCAGGATGTGAGTTGGCTGCACCCTTCCATCTGGAAGATAGAGAAGACTCACGAGGACCCAGGCCGTGAGATCTGTGTGCCAGGAGGCCGGGCTGAGACTGTGAGCACAGTGGGCAGGGCTGCCCAGGACTGTGAGTTTCATTTGTAACCCTGGAGGATTTTCTTTCCTTCTGCAGATGGTGGAAGAGAGTGAAGAGCGGCTCACGGAGGAGCAGATTGAAGCTCTTCTCCACACCGTCACCAGCATTCTGCCTGCAGGGCCAGAGGCTGAGCAGAAGAAGAAGACCAACAGCGACGTGGCAATGGACGAAGAGGACCCAGCGTAGAAGAGCACAGCTGGCCCTGGCGTTTCATGAAGTCAGAACGCCCAGCAGCCGTTTCCTGGATGTTGAGAGGATTGTTTATTTGATTATACCCTCTATCCCGGCAGGCCTGGCTTCGTGGTTAGTTGGGTAATCACAAAAATAAGCTAAAAAGAAATATTTGTGCCTTGGGGAGAAGAAACATGGTGAAGACAGGCTGAGGTTGTCAGGGCAGAGAGCTGAAGGTGGGGACAGTGACCGTGGACCCCTCTGTGCTTGAAAGATTTCCTCCACGGCCTTTGCCCCAGTTGTGGGGAGGTCTCTATACACAGCGGGGAAAATGCTTGTGTCTTCTTTGGTGGGCCATGTCCTAATTAGTTTCATCTGCTTCCCTGGGAACTTACTAAACAGGGGCTCAGAGCACTGTTGGGAATCTGGTTAGAGCCCCAGAGAGTTACTCTAAGTTAAAATGAGTCACTGACCTTGGCTCACCTTAGAGGAATTTCCTCGAGAACAACAGAGATAAGAAAAGAACCGGCCTGGCCAATCCTTCAACAGCTCTAGAGCCCCTTTTCTCTGCTGGCAGGGGCTTTGTTTACCAGCTCACTGTTTAGGCTAAATGTTAGGGACCAGATCACTGCAGTTGAAAACAGGCACTCCAGGCTTAGTGACAGTGGCAGCAGAAACAATGTTGGCTGCCTTCCTGACCACCCCACTTTCCTGCCCTGAGACAGCAGCCCAGGGCAGGTGATTCATATTGAGACCAGGTGAGCCTCATTTGCACAACAGTCAAATTGTTTGCTCCTTTAAAAAGGACACAATTAGCCTGGCCCGGTGGCTTATGCTTATAATCCCAGCAGTTTGGGAGGCCAAGGCAGGAGGATCACCTGAGGTCAGGAGTTTGAGACCAGCCTGACCAACATGGAGAAACCCTATCTCTACTAAAAAAAAATACAAAATTAGCCGGGCGTGATGGTGCATGCCTGTAATCGCAGCTATTCGGGAGGCAGAGGCAGGAGGATCACTTGAACCTGGGAGGCGGAGGTTGCAGTGAGCTGAGATTGCACTATTGCACTCCAGCCTTGGCAACAAGAGGGAAACTTCATCTCAAAAAAAAAAAAATAAGATTATTACCATGTGAAAACCTTTTTAATATTCAGGAATTCAGGATTTGGAAAGTGTAGTTGCCCCAGGCATGTGGTTGTTGCCTTAGGTCCTGCGAATATTGCCGAAAATTGGGTTTTCCACATTCACTATCTTCCCTGTTTTAGGGAAGAAAATGATCGTAGACATTCGATTTTCCAAATTGGTAGTCTTTCATTTTCAATGCTAATGGGATTACTTCTCTGCCAACCCTCCTGCCCATCCATCCATCCCACTCCTCAGGCAATTGATTGCAGTTCCGTGTATCTTAACCTTACCATCTGAGATTCAGCTGAAATCTGTTTATAGGCAACATTGAAAGTACCAGATTAGGGTCAGGTGTGGTGGCCCACACCTGTAATCCCCAGCACTTTGGGAGGTGGAGGCGGGTGGATCATGAGGTCAGGAGTTCAAGACCAGCCTGGCCAACATAGTGAAACCCCTTCGCCACTAAGGATATAAAAAAATTAGCCGAGTGTGGTGGTGCATGCCTGTGATCCCAGCTACTCAGGAGGCTGAGGCAGGGGAATCGCTTGAACCCGGGAGGCAGAGGTTGCAGTGAGCCAAGATCGCACATTGCACTCCAGCCTGGCCAACAGGGCGAGACTCCATCTCAAAAAAACGGAAGTACCAGATTGTACTTGTAAATCTCTCTAGGGTATTGGGAATTTTACTGGGAGCTGTTGATTTATTTCTCAGGGCATATGTGTGCTGTGTGCCGATCTGTCTCATTATTGTCTCTCTTTTTTTTTTTTTTTTTGGAGACAGTCTCGCTGTATCACCCAGGAGTGCAGTGGCACGATCTCAGCTCATTGCAACCTCTCCCTCCCAGATTCAAGCGATTCTGGTGCCTCAGCCTCCTGAGTAGCTGGGACTACAGGCATGCGCCACTATACCCTGCTAATATCTGTATTTTTAGTAGAGATAGGGTTTTGCCATATTGGTCAGGCTGGTCATAATGTCTCTTTTTAACACTGAATATGCTAGGTGGTTTTTCTTGATGGATTTAGGGTTAACCTAGTTAATAATAAATTGTTTCCAGGTAATTATCAAGTTTTGTCATCTTATAAATCTGAAGAGTTAATATTGTCATGGATACAAATAAAGTGAAATCTGACTGAAGCTAAAATGTGTGATTTTTTTCTTAAAAAACTGACTTTATTTAGATCTACATTTTTAATTGGATTTCAAGAAAAGTTTAAGTTTCTATATTTGAGACCTGAATTTAGCCTCAGTTTTTTGTTAAACCAGGTTCTGGAAGACTTAATTTTATAAGAAATGCACATATATTCCGTGTAATTTTCCTACCACATTAATAGTAAATGTTTCAGAAATAAAAATTGACCAGGCTCAGTGGCTCACGCCTGTAATCCCAGCACTTTGGGAGGCCAAGGGGGGTGGATCACGAGGTCAGGAATTCAAGACCAGCGTGGCCAACATGGCGAAACCCCATCTCTACTAAAAATGCAAAAATTAGCCAGGCGTGGTGGCAGGTGCCTGTAATCCCAGCTACTTGGGAGGTTGAGGCAGGAGAATTGCTTGAATCAGGGAGGCGGAGGTTTCAGTGAGCCAAGATCGTGCCACTGTACTCCAGCCTGGGTAGCACAGTGAGACTCCGTCTCAAAAAAAAAAAAAAAAATTAAAACAACTGAATTCATGGAGGTAGAGATTTGAAGAATGGTTATCAGAGGCTAGGAAGGGTAGTGGGGGTTGGGAGGGATGGCTAATGGATACAACAATATAATTAGAAGGAATAAGATCTAGTATTTGATAGCACAACAGGGTGACTACAATCAACAATGATTTATTGTACTTTGTTTTTGTTTGTTTTTTGAGACGATCTCATTCTGTCACCCAGGTTGGAGTGCAGTGGCAAAGTCTCAGCTCATGGCAGCCTCCACCTGGGCTCAAGCAATCCTCCCACCTCAGCCTCATGAGTAGCTGGGACCACAGGTGTGCGCCACCACACCAGGGTAATTTTTTATATTTTTAGTAGAGACGGGGTTTTATCTCATTGCCCAAGCTGGTCTCAAACTCCTGAGCACAAGCAATACACTTGCCTTGGCCACCCAAAGTGCTGGGATTACATGCGTGAGCTACCGTGCCCAGCCTCAATTTAAAAATAAAGAGCCTAATTGCATTGTTTGTAACACAAAGAATAAATGCTTGAGGGGATGGATACCCCCTTTACTCTGTGATTACTATGCATTGCATGCCTGTATCAAAGTATCCCGTAAATATATACACCTACTATCTACCCACAAAAATTAAAAAAAAAAAAATGGCCAGGCATGGTTGCTGATGCCTGTAATCCCAGAACTTTGGGAGGATGAGCTGGGTGGATCACCTGAGGTCAGGAGTTCGAGACCAGCCAGGCGAACATGGTGAAACCCCCATCTCTGCTAAAAATACAAAAATTATCCAGTTGTGGTGGTGGGCACCTGTAGTCCCAGCTACTCAGAAGGCTGAGGCACAAGAATCACTTGAACCCAGGTGGCAGAGGTTGCAGTGAATTGAAATAGCGCAACTGCACTCCAGCCTGGGTGACAAAGCGAGACTGTGTCTCAAAATAATTAAAATTTAAAAATTTAAAAGTAAGAATAACTTAAAGTATAATGAGATTTTTTTGTTTATTTGTTTTTGTTTTTGAGACCGAGTCTCGCTCTGTCACCCAGGCTGGACTGTAGTGGTACCATCTCAGCTCACTGCAACCTCTGCTCCCAGGTTCTAAGCAACTCTTCCGCCTCAGCTCCAGAGTAGCTGGGATTACAGACATGCGCCATCATACCCGGCTTTTTTTTTTTTTTTTTTTTTTAAGTAGAGATGGGGTTTCACCATGTTGGCCAGGCTGGTCTTGAACTCCTGACCTAAGGTGATTCACCTGCCTCGGCCTGCCAAAGTGCTGGGATTACAGGTATGAGCCACCGCACCCACCCTACATTGCTTGTAACACAAAGGATAAGTGCTTGAAGGGATGGATACCCCATTTTCTATGGTGTGATTATTACACATTGCATGACTATCAAAGCATCTCATGTAACCCATAAATAATACACCTATGTACCCACAAAAATTAAAAAACAACAAAAAACCCCACACCACTACCTCACTGATGCCATAATGTTTAACCATGCTTTTCACTTAAAGAATTCCAGGAAATAGGCCAGGTGTGTGGCTCACGCCTGTAATTCCAGCACTTTGGGAGGCCAAGGTGGGTGGATCACCTGTCACCTGAGCTCAGGAGTTCGAGACCAGCCTGGGCAACATGGCAAAATCCTGTCTCTACTAAAAATACAAAAAATTAGCTGAGCGTGGTGGCACGCGTTTGTAGTCCCAGCTACTCTGGAGGCTGAGTCACGAGAATTGCTTGAATTCGGGAAGTGGAGGTTGCAGTGAGCCAAGATCGTGCCACTGCTCTCCAGCCTAGGGGACAGAGTGGGACTGTCTCAAAAAAAAAAAAAAAAAAAAAAAAAAAATTCTGGGAACTGGCCTTAGAAGATCTAAATATCAAACCAAGGCTGCGGAGAGTTCCACCTCAGAAAGAAATGCTGAGTAATTGATTTACAGCCCTTTTGTCGCCGGCCAGGCCACCAAATGGCCCTTACCCAAGATTGCAACCAGACATGCTTGGCTTGCATGCCTCGCCCATCATGTGCTACCAGCTCAGCCTGCAAACCTTACCCCTGATGCCAATTCCCACACTTTGCCTAATAAAAAAATACTGACTTTTTTCAGAGAGTCAGCTGGAGCATCCTTGTACTGGGGCGCTAGCCCCAAAATAAAAGCCTTGTCTGGGGCCGGGTGTGGTGGCTCATGCCTGTAATTCCAGCACTTGGAGGATGAGGCAGGTGGCTCACCTGAGGTCAGGAGTTCGAGACCAGCCTGGTTAGCATAGTGAAACCCTGTCTCTTCAAAAATACCAAAATTAGCCGGGTGCAGTGGTATAGCCTGTAGTCCCAGCTACTCAGGAGGCTGAGGCATGAGAATGACTGGAACATAGGAGATGGAGGTTGCAGTGAGCTGAGATCACACCATTGCACTCCAGCCAGGGTGACAAAGTGAGACTCCATCTAAAAAAAAAAAAAAAGAAAAAGAAAAAGAAAAAATTAACAAGGGGACCAGCAGATTTCCCAGACAAGGTTTTTGTTTTGTTTTGTTTTGTTTTGTTTGAGACAGAGTCTTGCTCAGTCTCCCAGGCTGGAGTGCAGTGGCACGATCTGGGCTCACTGCAAGCTCTGCCTCCTGGGTTCACGCCATTCTCCTGCCTCAGCCTCCCGAGTAGCTGGGACTACAGGCGCCCGCCACGTCGCCTGGCTAAGTTTTTGTATTTTTTTAAGTAGAGGTGGGGTTTTACCATGTTAGCCAGGATGGTCTCGATTTCCGGACCTCATGATCCACCCGCCTCGGCCTCCCAAAGTGCTGGGATTACAGGTGTGAGCCACCTCACCCAGCCTTGTTTTGTTTTTTAAGGTGAAGTCTTGCTCTATTGCCCAGGCTGGAGTGCACTGGTGTGATCTCAGCTCACTACTGCAACCTTCACCTCCTGGGTTCAAGCAATTCCCTTCCCTTAGCCTCCCAAGTAGCTAGGAGTAGCATGCACCACCACATCCGGCTAATTTTTGTATTTTTAGTAGAGATAGGGTTTCTCCATGTTGGCAAGGTTTTCTCAAACTCCTGACCTCAAATGATCTGCCCGCCTCAGCCTCCCAAAATGCTCCCAAAGTTACAGGCATGAGCCACCTCACCCGGCATGATTTAGATAAGACTTTGAATTTAGACTTTTAAGGGTGATGCTGAAAAAAGTTAAGACTTCTTGGGATTATTGGGATGGAATTTAATGAAGGTATTTTGGATGTGAGAAGGATACGGATTTCGGGGAGCAAGGGGAGAGTGCTATGGTTTGAATGTTTTTCTCTCCTCCAAAAATTTATGTTGAAATGTAATCCCCATTGCCATAGGATTGGGAGGTGGGGCCTAATGGGAGGTCATGAGGGCTCTGCCCTCTTTAATGGGTTAATACCACTGTATAAAGGACCTGCTGCCATGTGAGGACAGACATTTCATCCCTTTGTACCCTCTGCCTTCTGCCATGTGAGGACACAGCAAGAAAGCCCTTATCACACCAGATGCGGGCACCTTCCTCTTGGACTTTGAAGTCTCCAGAACTGTGAGAAATACATTTCTGTTCTCTATAAAGTACCCAGTCTGTAATATTCTGTAATAGCAGCACAAAATGGACAAAGACATTTCGCTTTCTCCTCAGGTGGATCCCAAGACACAAAAAATGTCCTGCTAATTAGTGAAGGAGTTTCCTTGGCACAGACCCAATATGCAAAGAAGTGGCTGCCTTTTCAAACGCCTACTTTCCAACAACAACAAAAATCACAAAGCATATTTTTAAAAAGGTAACATGGACTCTTTCAAGGAAGAAAATGAAGTGGCAGAAATTATATCTGAAGAGGCCGGGCGCACTGGCTCATGCCTGTAATCCCAACACTTTGGGAGGCCGAGGCGGGCAAATCACTTGAGGTCAGGAGTTTTGAGACCAGCCTGGCCAACATGGTGAAACTCCATCTCTACTAAAAATACAAAAATGAGCTGGGCATCGTGGTGGGCACCTGTAATCCCAGCTACTCAAGAAGCTGAGGCAGGAGAATCACTTGAACCCGGGAGGTGGAGGTTGCAGTGAGTTGAGATCGCACCACTGCACTCCATCCAGCCTGAGTAACAGAGTGAGACTCCATCTCAAAAAAAGAAAATAAAGAAATTATTCCTGAAGAGACACAGGTACCAGACTTACTAGACAAAGAGCTTAAAACAAAACCATCTTAAATATGCTTGAATAGTTAAAGAAAAACATGGACAAAGAAGTAAAGGAAATCAGCAAAATTATATATGTATAAAATGAGAATATCAATAAAGAGATAGAAATTATAAAAAGGACCAAAACAAAAATTCTAGAGATGAAAAATACAATAAACTGAAAAATTCAGTAGAGTCAATGGAAGGATCAAGCAGGCAGAAGAGAGAATTAACAAACTTGAAGAAAGTACATTTGAAATTACTTCGTCTGAGGAGCAAACAGAAAAGAACAAACAGGCCGGGCATGTTACAGGCTCACA